ATCGTTTAGACAGAATGTGTGCAAAGCACAATAAGTGGAAAGTTAGTCGATTTGATTTAGTTTTTTTCATTTGGGGACTCACTAATAGTGAATCAGTATTTGAAAGCCTAATCAATACACTAAAAATTGACTATTTGTGTTAGACGGCCAGATCCTGATACACGGGCAAGATGCTACAGATCCTGGACTTATCGCAACTTCCCATCCGGTCTAGTACAGTGGACGACGGTACTAGAGTGAAGAAGAAGATGGAGCAGGAACACGAGATTGGAGAAATGTAGCGGCGTGTGTCTATTGAGAAGACCAAGACAGCTCTGGTGAACAAGACTCCGGATGTGCTCAAAGATACTGCTACTATCATGGATCATACGCACGGCGTCACGCTATTTCATGAGGTTTGTAGAATTAGGCATTGGAGTGGTGCGGTAAATAGTAAGCCCCCGATTGGGATTCCCTTCTTATCATCAATGTTATGTAACGCGTTTCAGTTAAGAAAACTTAAACACTGTGGTAGGGAAGCTGGCATTTCCTAAAGTGTTGGTCGCGGAGTAGATTCAAAAGTGAGGAAAACTTTGGCAATTGCTCTCCTCATGCCTACAGTCTTCTACATATTCCTCATTCTATAGATTCTTTTCTTCTACGTATTCTACGGACGTTTGTCTAACTCCTGACCGCTCGGGGACTCCATGAGCTACTTACGCCAGCTAGGCTAATACACTTGAAGAGCCTAATGAGTGTGGGCAAGGCTTGAATAACCTATTCACACTACAATTCCCTCCCAAGCCTTGTTCATACACTGTGCGAAAAGCTCTGCTGGAATGCATGGTAACCATTTCCGTAACCAGCGGTTTATCCGGGTTACATTACCGTGTAGCCATGTGAAACTAAAGGGCTACATGGTTATGTAACCACGTATCTTGTAACACCAGATATTACCAACTGGTCCCTATCAACGTGTAACTTGTTACAGTTTACATGTAGCCATATATTTGCCATGTAGTATATGCAAATGGGGTGACTCTAGTGCCTTTACTGCTTACTCTAGTCTGATTGCAACTCTAGTACACACTGACCATGTAGTCTAACTGCATCAACGTGCCTTAGCTGCAAATGTACTACACTTGAGCCAGGTCACGCCTCAGTAGGTTGTGGTAGTCAATGAGCTTGTTGTCCTTTGACTTGTCGGCGTAGGCACAAACTAGCACCTTTATGTCTTCGTGCATGATCTTAAAAGGCTCCCAAGAATTCTCGATTGGTTCCAGTCCTTCGATGCTGATTAGCAGCTCGTAATCCTGCATATCGGCGTTCCAGCAATGGTCATTGATAGCTTTCACCTTTAAACATATTCCTTGTGCAGAAATATGCTCTCGGAGTTCTTCCGTTATTTCCAAATCGCTCTTTGCGAAAACCTTCAACCGCAAAGCATGTGCATCGAACTCCCTTCCGGTAACGAGATGTTTGACACTAAATGAGTGGGTATTGCATCTCGTGACTGTGGACCGCCCCATCCATTTCACCAATTGTTTGTTTTGGATCTTCTCGTCCACTCTGGATCTCAGGACATAATCACCTATTGAGAAATTCACCATCTGACTACCTTCTGCTCTTGTTCAATATTGTCCTTTTTTCACTCTGGCTCTACACTTCTCGATGTATCTGCTCAATACTATTTCTCAATGTAGGCAATGACTCATCGACGTATTGCACTGAAGTGTCCGCGCTGATTGGGTTATAGCCGGGGACGAAAAGTGTCGAGATTGGACTTGGACACGGCAAACCCGTAAAAATCTCGATTGGAGACCTTTCAGCTAGTGGCTGCACTGGCGAGTGGTTGCGATTAGCTTGCACAAGTCTTGGTATGCAAGTGAATTATCCAGTACCATTGCACGCAGTACTTGCAACATATCTCGATTTATCCCTTCGACCGAGCAATTTATTCATGAGCTGTATGCTACCACAAAGTCTTGCTTAGCCTTCATACGTTTGCTGAGTCGTGCTAATACTTGACTCTTAAAATGCGTGGCGTTGTCGCTAATCCATGCCGTAGGGTCTCCATATCGACCGTCCCAGTTCTCAACTTGTGTCAAAACAGCAGACCAACCGATATCTGACGCGTCAGAGAACAAAGCAAACGTAGCGTTGTCCTTAGGATGGGCTAGTATGGCTGTATTAGCCAAAAGGTTTCTGACTTTGTCATAGCTCATCATCTCATTCTTGCTTAGTTGTATATATATACCAGATGCTATTCGCTTCGTCTTACGTTTCCCTTCTAGCGCACGATCCAAACCTTTTTGTAGTGGTTGAATGGTCCTAGCGTAATCGACCAAACTGTCCCGCATCCAGTTGGATGCGCAGATAAATTGTTGTAGCTCACCCGCAGTAGTAGGCGGAGGCTTGTTGGATGGAGCAGCAACTTGGTTTGGGTCATGTGAGATTCCTCTCTCTGAAATCACTTTTCCACACCATGTTACAGACTGCTGGTGCAGACGTGTCTTGGTTACACTGAACGTTAAGCTATAGTGAGCCATAGTGCCGAACAATTTGTCTAAAGCTGCTAAATATTCCTCGATAGTGCCTGCATACACCAAAAGATCGTCTATCCAGATCAGCAATGAGTTGTAGAGCAACTCCACAAAACAAGTCTCCATCGTAGCCTGAAAGTGCAACGCGGCATCGCAACTACCCTGCGGATCCGACTTGGCGTAGAAATACCTTCATCAGTAGCATACGATAGAATTTCCTGGCTACTCTTGGCTAAAGGCAATTGCCAGAACCTTCGATAAAATCGATAAGGCCGTAATGCTTCGTGTGCCTAGCATGTTAGTATTTGGCGTCTAGGTTGGGCATTACCCCAGCTCTTGGCTGTGTTCTTGCATTTAATGGCTTGCAGTCGCTCCTTTGTCGGAAGTCATCAGTGCCCGGCTTCCTCACTGGGAGTGCTGGGCATGCCTAGCGACTAGCTTAGTTCCGGTTACCCACCCTAGCTCAACAAGTTTATTATTAAAGTCACGCATGAACTTGCTCTGGGCCGGGGAATACTTTCTCGACTTGCATCTATAGGGTGTGGCGCCGTCTTTTAGTCGGATCTCATAAGCCGGAACTCGGGCAGGAGGGTGATTACGAAGGTCTATTCTCCAAATGTCGTGCTTTCTTACCATTTTCTCCAATTCATTCCTATGCGCCACTGAAAAAATCATTCTTTTATAGCATCATCTACCAGTTTGTTTAATCCAGCCAATATTTCGACAATATCTGGTGGCTCAGTTCGTTTGTCATCGACAACGTCATATGGATCAATCTCATTGTCAACTGTCGGTTGAGCAAGCTGCTCAAGTAGTCTATCGACGTCGATTCCCAAAAACATCAGTAAATCCTGGCTACGATGAACTAGTCGTCACCGTCAATCAGTAAGTATTCAACAGGCTTCTGGGGCTCCACAATACCGGCGACTGTGCCAATCTGGATGACCAGGTCTACAGCTCTATCAGCCTTAACCCAATGTCCTCCAATTGCACGATCTTTAATCGGTTTTCCCGGTTTTTATATTTCAATGGCATTCTCCGTTGCTGCATTCAGCCCTCCTTGCATCTTGGTGCTTATAACGCACCGGTCCGACCCGGTGTCTGCGTAGTACGGCTTCTGAAGATCACCATTCAGCAGAACAGCGCCCGCCTCTCTTCTTTTGTCTTGCCGAAGACGCTTCATATCTGCTTCGTTAGCCGATTTGCCCTTGGATTTGTGTTACAGCTTCGGTAAGTCTTTTTTCTCAGCTTCACTAACCTCCAGACATTTGGATACCCAATGCGGACCTCCACACTTTAAACAGCCTTTGGCAGGGCTGGTGGCGGCATGTTGCCATTTCCACTGCTACTCGACTGCCTTTTATCCGGGGCAGGGTCGGTATTACGTGAGCCACTATACTTCCGAGCATTGCTTCTCCCTTAATCATCTTTGCTCTTCATTCGCTTTTCTTCCCACTTGTGGATTTGGTGCGGCGCTTCCACATCGTGTAAGATCCGCTTTCTCTTTGACTGGCGAAATTCTCTGTCTTGTTCGAGTGCCTTGGCCAGTATTAAATCATGGAGTTTGCGTTTGTCAGACTTGGCGTCAGGCGATTCATAACACAAGGCATTCTTCACCTCTTCCTTCAGTGCCTCGGGTGTAATCGAGTTTATCAGTAAACAGCATTTCTCTTTCGACCCTGCTTCAAACTCGAAACATCCATGCAAGCCATGTTCTTCAATAATACGCTCGCAAGAGATGAAATATTTTAGAACTCTTTCGCTAACGCCACTCTCTTTCAGATTGAAGTGCAACTCTTTTCTGAACAAAGCTTGTACATCAGGCAGTGTCTGGTTCTTGCCGGAGTTGATAATATTGTCAATTTCTGTACGCAGTCTAGCATCATTGATGTCTTCAACCGCAATTTGCCAACGAAGGCGAAACCATGTTTCCAACAGCTACCGGTCGAACGAATCTTTCACCGACCTTGTCGCGGTGTT